TTTCCCCCCCCCCCCCCCCCCGTCCCCCCCGAACCCATCTCCAGAAATTTCAGTTAAGCTTCATCCATGTCTTCAAATGTTTTGGTCTTACAGAACTCCCAGTCCCCTCAGAAATTCCAAATATCCCTTCTGTGGGGGAAGTACATGTATCATGGATATTTTCTGGAATTGCACATTGTAGCTTTTAAACAAGAAGGTCAATACAGAAAACATATTTTTTGGTCGACGCTAATAAAAACCTTGCACTAAGTTTAGCCACCCAACGAAGTTTCAGCCTCTAAAGTGCTGGTTTTCCTTATTGAATTCATCTCCAAAGAAGCCCAAAATCAGACAAAGTTGCCACCATTTTAAACAGTACTCAGCAGCCAGGCTGCATTTTCATGATGTCATTCTGTCCAAGGGATTTCATTCTGATGGCTTCCGACAAGCCTTTTAACTACCACTCTGGGTAATGGCTGCTCTTGTGGCATAGTATTTCAAGCCAAACATGCTCCAAACCCTGAAAATGATAGCAGTGAAGATAGTGAAGTGGATAATCGGTTGAAAAGAATACATTTTGCTGACCTTGTGAAGGATGCCAAGTCAGTAAATCAGGTTTCTCTGCTTTCCGTCAATTTCGAGTCGGACAGAATGACATCACATAAACACAGCCTGGCTGCCAAGTACAGAACTTTTCAAAATGGCAGCCTCCGAAGTCAAATTTTGGGCTTCTTTCAAGACGAATTTCTTTCAGGATAGCAGGCACTTTAGAGGCTGAAACTTTGTGGTGAGTGTTTACTTACTATAGGTGGAAATGAAAAAGTAAGCTTTTTAAAGTGACTTTCTCATTTAATTAACAAACTATATTTTAATAATTGAACAAGCTAATTATTTTTAAATATTATAACAACATTACCATTTATTGTAAGTGTGTAACTGTTCTTTCGATAAGATTTGAAGTCAGTAGTTCATTCCCTGGTGCTTAATTCATCCAGGAGTTTTTTTTCTTTTAAATTGCAATTGAACTACATATTAACACACCATACCACAGCTAGGTAATGTTCATCAGGGGAAAATTCAACCAGTGCAATGGCCAGATCTGAATGGAGTGATGAGGAACCACCCTAATGTAAAGAAGAGGGCATTGAGTAATAATAAAAAGTTTAAAACTTTATACAGTGGGACTTTCCATGAAATGATCAAGTGCACTTTACATCATAAGCTTCAGTAAGCTTCAGTATGGAGTCAAGATCAAAAATGCCTTGCTATAATGAAACATGTTGAGTACTTGAGTTGTTCATTTAGTGCTCTCTTTCCAGTAGGTGATTTACCTTGAGTGTTGTTTTCTAAAAACGCATGTGAATGACTTTATGTAGCTATTTTAAACTTGAACTGACCAATCACAAGGTGGTCAATTATATTTGGCATTGTTTAATGCAGTGAACTTACAGTTATCATTTTAAAGTCTCCTATCTCCATTTGATACAGTTCAACTCCATTTGGACCAGCAACAGCTAAACTATACACCTGCAAAATCCAAAAGAAAAATATACATGCTGCAAAAGTTGGTTTTATTTTTAGTTCAAATTTGTAGTTTTAGTCTAGAAAACAGCATCTTGTACACCACTTAAAATAACAAAATTATACACTGCAATTACTGTATACAGTAATTTTTATCGGATGTTAACATATCTTTTGTTTCTTCCAGTTTTTGTTGAAGACTAAATAAATTGAAAAGACTACCACAGACTGGGAGCTAACTATTAATTAAAAATTAAATTTTGCATGATGATTATTAATTAAAACTAATGTGTAGATAGCAGCAGACATGTAAAGATTTTAAGGAAGATGGCAGAAGTTCTGTCGAAACATGTCTTTCAAACTTAAAAAATTGGTCGTTTTCCTTACAATCTAAAACTAATGTAAAATAATCTACAGAACACTTACCTTTTGTGGAGAAGAACAATCAGTCAAGATTAAGGAAATGTCTTTTGGCATGTAATACAAGGGAATGGTATAAAGACTGGTAAATCCCTGACAGACCTGATAAGGAATATACAACATTTGAAAGTACTGTAAGATTGAGAAATAATATTGGTAAATAGGTTCTTGGGTGAGAAAATACTCTGTGACAAAATAATGCTTACTTTAGAAAGATAAATCTTGTATCCAGCTACAGCAAATATTTGATCATCGCTGGACCAGGCATGACCCTCAAGAAGTTCACCTTTGCCAAATGTGAGTCTTTTAACTAAGACTACCTTGAAGTCTTCACCAACCTCTAGGATGTCATGGAACAAAAGAAAAGAATAAGAAGAAGAAAAAAATATTGTTAGCAAGAACTGGAATAAAAATGTACCTGTAGCCTGGTTGCTTGTACGATTCATATTCCTTGTAATTCAATTCAATTTTGATTATTGCCTTTTGATTTTGATTATTTCAATTGGATTATGCAAAATATTAATGTTTTTAATTCTTACAACATGATACACAAATGTAATCTAAACCCTTAATTTGAGGATACAATGGAGGTGTCGCACGTGGTTTGCCTTATTTAGAAATTCTCAACGGGTGGTAGAAGGGCAACATTTTTACCAAGCAACACAACATGGTGCACAAACTGTAAACATCTTTACTCTCTAATCAAAAGTGCACATTTCAAAGAGTTCTGGATTCTGATTTCACAATACAATAACTCACTGAGAACACTCTGGGAAAGGTATGCAAAAAATCGAACCAAAATCGAAACGTGGAATCAAAGAATTGTGAATTGACCAAACTTTCATAATTACGATTAATCAAGAATTCAATTAATCGTTATACCCATAGTTGCTTGCACAGATTCTACATCTGTCACACAGTGGTTCCTAAACGTATGTAGCTGTAAGCTTGTGGCTCAGATAAGCAAATAGACCTGGTTATGCAGCTATATTAATGGACTTCATAATATATTTGTATTTAAAGTAAAAAAAAAATGTATTTGTGACACATATGGATTACTGACAAAGCATAAGGTCAAGACCACTGAATATTGGTCAATTTGGCAAGTCAAGATCTTTTTCTTTTGCATGTGTATGGACCAAGAGGGAAAATTATATCACGCCATTTTGACTAAGCAAGCTTTAATTGGTCCAAAAAGGATTTACAGGACATATAGCACACTGTTTCCTTGTGCGATGTGTAGGGCAACCCCAAGTGGGCAAGATACTGTAGCCCCTGGCCTGCTCGGGTAGCCAATCACAGTGCAGGATAAATTTGGGTCATCTTGCCTACTCATGAGCAAGCTATATTCAATTGGGAGAAAATAGTTCCAGCAACCTTGAGAGCTGCTACTCTCCGTAGATGGGACAGTAGCCCAATGCGCCTCAACTGTGCGGATCAGTAATCTGCTGCGTGGCGTGCAGTGAACAGTTGAAAAGTTGTAAATAGTAATAACGCAGTGCCAAATTAAAAACGATGTTTATAGGAGACGTTTCGGGCCTAACCCTTCCTCAATGCCAAGTCCAGGTTACTCTACAACATTTTGTCGGGATGCAATTAATGAGGTCACGTATTCAGGAAACTCTAATTTTGTTTCCGAAATTTACTCCTAATGTACCTGTCAACTGGCAAATAGAGACAACTCCAAAGTCACACAAGGCACTTAAGTATCTTCCACTCTTTGAAAATTTGATACAATTCTGCAATGACGGGCTCGCTGGCTCCAATATTCCATCGAAGCTCACGCAGACGACTGAGTCTTCCGCCATTTTGAAAATCCCGCTCTGGGAAACTGGGCACTAAGGAGAGGGAGATAAATGTTTCCGTTTAGGGTAGGGTAAGGGTTAACCACTGCGTTACTAGGACTTTTCCTACTGCAATTTTCTCACGTTTCGTTTCCTTTCTTTTTTCTTTTCTTTTTTTTTTTTT